TCAGAGATGATCCCTGCTGTTGGTACGCCCCGCCCCTGTGGGCGTGACATCCATACAGTAGGTTTCTTTCAGGCCTACCAATCTCACAGTATTCCTTTTATTAAGATTTGCATTCTACCCCACATGGCCTCCATTTTTGTACTAGTATTGCCCACCTCAGTCCGTAGCCACTCCTATTCTTCCTTCTCTTGGGAAACATGTGTTTCAGCCTCCTCCAGTCTCTCCTGCATGGTGGCCCCAGTTGCCTTTAGCTCCAAGGTTGTTTCTTTAATAGTTGAGACATCTGTTGCAACATTCTGCAGCATAGCATTTATTTAGCCAATTTCAAGAAATAACTTATCAAAACTTTTGGTCAACTGTGGTGAGTTTTGAAAGGAAGGGACCACTACACCCTCTGCCTCATGTATGGCTTATTTCCTGGTAGCCATGTGAACAGCATTCACAAAGTACTTTGACGTTGACATATTTCTTTGAATGATTTCTCACAACTGTAGTGCAATATGTGACCATAATTGAGGTATTTCAGCACTGATTATTACTTAATATAAACCACTGATTTACCACATTAATGTATTTTAACTTGTGGGTGATCTGCTGTTAACTTAAAGATCCTCCATCTTCCTCGCCACCCCCAAGTGACTCACCACTGAAAATTAATAAATTAGTGAGCAATCCTTTATGGCAATTCCATTCTGTGCTGTTGTGTCATTCTTTTAAGATGATCAGAAAATTTAAAAAGTGGTGAAAACCATTTCAAATCTGGCCATATAGAGGACTACAGCTACTATAATGGGCTGTTGGCAGGTTCAGTCAGAGCAAGCATGAGGGTCAGAATGTACCAAATTTCATTGAGTTATAGCAGATAGACAGCAGGGGTCCTTTAGATTAGCATATGATTATTAATAGCATTTGGCATATTTTATTTTGAAGTCCCATTCAATAAATTACACAACTGCGAGTACACTAAACTAAAATATGTTCAAAATTATTTTTTTAATATTACAAAGATAAACCAAGATGTAGAGCAATGTGGTTAAAGAAGTTCTTCCTTCAGGAGAATACAGGTCTGGCAAAAACTGGTCTCAGATCAGCGATTGGACAGAGTGATGTTAGGAAATTGCCACACTGTAGTTCTATTATTTACTTCCTCCATAAATTGCCATCTTATCATGGTAGAGAGGTTTGTGCGCCTCTGTGACTCTAGGAGCTATGTTGTTGGGGGCAATTGATGGTGGTACTGTAGGGTCTCCCACGGCAAATTGGTCCTATGTGAGAGTCTGGACTAAGTGCAATTCAGAACTCCCCCATAAGGATTTCCATAAAGCAGTGGTTCTCAATTCTGCTTTTCCAACCCTACCATCATCAGGCTTATATGGTCCTTAATAGACTAATAATGAATGTGGTAGGGTGTGGGTTGAAATGAAAACATTCTGCCAGGGGGAGCTACTGTCATAAAGGGAGATATGACCCCACCCAGACTGGGGTGCTGCCATGGAGTCAGGACTGGGGAGAGAGTTTGTGAGCTTGGGCCTGGTAGCTGGGCCTCTACCCATGGCAACAGGCATAGCCCTCACCTCAACACAAGGCTCTGGATCTGGAACCAATCTCCTGGAGAGGGGCTGGACTCCATTTCACACTGGAGTGACCCATTGTAAGAGGTGCCAGGCAGGTGTGGGTCTACTTATAGGCCCCCAGTTTGGTGCCTATACTGTAGGTAGGAATTTACCACCAGTGAACAAAAGGTTTGCCTTCCTTTGAATTTGAGTCAGGGGATAGGCACTGACTGTTGTCTGTGTGTATGCAATGAATACCAGTTCAGAGTATCCAGCCTTTGAGAAGACCTTCAATGGTGACTCCATTGTTCTGAGGGGGACTTCAATGCATGTAGGCAGCAACAGTGAAACCTGGAAGGATAGGATTGGGAGGAATGGCCTGCCCAGTCTTAAGCTCTGTTATTCGACTTCTGTGCCAACCTCAGTTTGTCCATAATGAACACCATGTTCGAGCATAAGGGTGTTCATAAGTGTACTGTACCTGGTACCAGAGCACCTTAGCCCACAGCTCGATGATCAATTTTGAAATCGTATTGTCGGATCTGCGTCTGCATGTTTTGGACACTCGGGTGAAAAGAAGAGCTGAGCTGTCAGCTGGTCACCTAAATGGGCAAGGTTCTGAGACTCCATCGTTAAAGCAGTTGTGTAGGTTTGGCCATAAGGTTGTTAGTCCCTGTTGCAATGGCCCAAACCAAATGGTGGGCACCAGAGGTAAAGAGAACTGACAGGGTGAAGAAAAGGCCTTCCAAGCTTAGGTAGCTAGTGGGACCCCTGAAACAGCTGTCAAGTACTGGCAGGCTAAGTACAGTGCAGCTTTGGTAGTTGCTGAAGCAGAAACTCGGGTGTGGGAGGAGTTTGGTGTGACCATGGACAATGACTTTCAGTCAGCCTCAAAAATATTCTGGAAACCATCCACCAATTCAGTGATGATGGTGGACCTTTGGAAACACCTGGGGACCCCAGACTGAGCCAGAGATTCGTTGAAGGTGGAGGTGAAAATTCCAGCCAGCTGGTCAGTGCAACAGCATACTAGGCACCCATAGATGTCATGTGGACCAGGCACTTTGCTGCCATTCACCAGCGCCTTACGCACATTATGCACTGCTATGGTGATTACCCTTTCATTCCTGGTGATGTCACTGCTCCCTGTAAGAAGACCATAGCCAACTCTAGCCACATGGCTCTAGTGTTAGCACGATTACCCTCAAAACTGATGTAAAACTATTTGAGCATGTTGGCAAATGAAGAGTCGGCATTCACGGTCATGGTTGATTTGTTTTTAAAGTCCATGATAGTGCGCAGTTTGTGCCGCATGTGGCATGTGTTGTCCTGGTGGAAGTGCAATTCCATGTATCCCCGTTACTGATGCTTTGTGTCATACAGCACGCTGTACTCCATATGAAGCCACTTTATACTTATTCATATAGCTGATGGAGAGACCTGTATTATAAGCCATGATGTGGGCATTCATTGGTTCCGTCAACCCACAGTTTCTGATTGCCAAATGTTTTTAATGTGATCATGGGGACAACCTTGTCAGGCAGCATGCTAACAAAGCTATCCGCTACTTCTGCAAAGTATTTGATGTCATCTGCGCTTTACTGGAACATGTCCCAGTCTACATCCTCAAGCATGTTCTGTAGTGTAATTACTGATTGGGCAGACCAGCACTATACCTTCCTCGTCACCGGAGTTTCCCTAAGAGACTATTGTTTATATTCCGGCATGAGGAAAATTGTGTTGTGGTCTGATCTCCCAAACACCGGTTGTGAAACAGCTTTGTAGCCCTGCTTGTATGGGGTGTAACAGTGATCCAGTGCGTTAACTCTCCTGGTTGGGCATGTGACATGTGGATAAAGATTTGGCATGGTTTGTTACAAGTAGCAGAAATGAGTTTCTTTCATGGGGTGTCTGGGTTCAGCCTTTGAGATAGGGTGAGGAACTCAGACATTCAAGAGGAGCTCAAAGTAGAATCACTGTTCCTCCACATCAAAAGGAGCAAGTTGAGGTGATTTGGGCATCTGTCTAGTATGCCACCTGGACGCCTCCCTGGGGAGGTGCTTTGGGTATATCCAACCAGGAGAATACCCTAGGACAGACCCAGGACACGTAGGATTGATTATATCTCTCAGCTGGCCTGGGAGCACCTTGGTATTCCTCTGGGTGGGCTGGAGGAAGAGGGTGGTGAAAGGGAGGTCTGGGAAACCTGACTCCGGATAAGCTGCAGATAATGGAAGGAATGAACATTCACTACCTTTAGCGAAACAATGGCAACATACTAATTTCTCTTACGTGACAGTATATGAAATTCATGAAAATACCACCAGTAAAAAAGGAATTATCACATACGACAAACCTTGAAGTTTTTTTTAATACTCATTTTAACCGCAGACATAATTTCCATTCAGTTTTCACCTAGGCTTTTTGTCGAGGGTACCGGACATATAAAAATGCTAATAAACCGACTACAGAATGACGTCAGACTTGTGCTCCCTAAAGGATCAACAGCTACTGTACACTGTCTTGTACTCGGAGTGGGGAAGCAGCACAGGATCCAAAGAGATCGGGTGAACACAGGGTTTATTTTAAAGCAGACAAATCATGCACACACAAAGGACAGACAACAATAACCGGACTGGGGAAACATACTCTAACGCGAACTTAAATACACCAGACTAATTAATAACAACGAGAAACAGCTGGTAACACGGGTATTCCACATGAGGTAGATGAGGGGGCGTGGCACACGGGAGGATCGGTCGACCTGAGCATGACATACACAACAAAGCAAGAATCTAATATGACAAATATTCAAATCAGCAAACCATGTAACACTAAGAGCATTCTTTTAAGGTGTGCTTTTAAGTCATAGGTGGCCAATATTATCCAGAAAGGGTTACTGTGTGTGCAGGTTTTTGCTGCAACTCCTTAATTAGACTACTAATTAGAGGACTGATTGACTGAAGAGTCCTCACACCTGGTATTGAACAGCTGGCCTAAAGGTTATCATAAAAACCTACATACACACTGGCCCTTTGCAGATAAGATTGGACACCCCTGTTTTAAGTGCTTTTAAGGCTATTAGAGGTATTCCTGGGATAGTGAGGACTTTTTAGCATCTGCACAATTGCATCCCATTTATTTGTGGGTGGTGAGTGGCTCAGTGGGCTAAGTCTCTGTGCCTGTGATCAGAAGACTACTGGACCATTACATGTCCATGGGCCCTTGAGCAAGGCCCATATTTCCCCAGAAATGAAGAGTAAAATGGGGTAGGCAAAGAGAGGAATTTCAATGTACCTTTTTCTCATACTTGTGCAAATGTAAAATAAATGTTTATCTACCTGCACATAGCCTATTGATCTATTCATCAATACACTCCTACTCTAACAAGCCAAATGTTATTAGTCACAAAATAAGAAGTATGGATTGTCTTCCTCCCCATTCCAGACACAGAGCAGAATGAAGCTTATTGCAGACAACTATGAAGAAGACCATCACCATCCTCCGCAACCTCACCCCCCACAACCCCATCCTCAGCCCCAACATCCATACCCTCAAGCCCATCTCAACCCAAATCCTCAACACCCCCACCCACAACTTCAACACCCTCAACCTCAGCCCCAACACCCCTATCCTCCACCCCAGCTAAACCCCAGCCCTGGTCCTCAACACCCCCATGCATCACTCCAGCACCCCCACCCTCATCAACCTCAACACCCTCACCCCCAACACTCTCCTCATCCTCAGCCTCCACACCCCAACCCACAGGCACATCATCCTCAGCCTCAACTCCATCACTCCCAACCCCAGCCACCTCACCTCCAACCCCAACCACCTCACCCCCAAATTCAGCACCCTCCACCTTACCCTCCACAGCCCCAACATCCACCAAGCCAATACCCACCCACTCCACATCTACAACATCCCCAAGGGCAATACACCCAGCCAACACACCCTCAGCCCCAATACACCCAGCCAACACACCCCCAGCCCCAATACCCCCAGCCACCACACCCCCAGCACCCTCCACCTCACCACCCTCAGCACCCTCCACCTCACCACCCTCAGCACCCCCAGGTTCAAATGCAACACCCCCCACCTCATCAGCCCCAGCACCCCCATCCTCAACACCCCCCTCATGCCCCACACCCACATCAGCCACCCCCCACTCATCGTGGGCCCAGCCGTGGTCCTCCACATGGCAGCCATCGGCCATCTCCCGATCAGGTCAGTGTTACCAGAATGTTCCCCAAAGCTATGCCTAAATGCGGTAAAGAGGCTGTGATTCCTTTAGCTCCTTACACTCACGGCTGCTTCTTCTAGGTTCCTCTGAAGAGCATAACAATCCTAAAGACTCAAAACTTCTCACTTTTCCCTTTTTTCCTAATGCATGTCCTTCTCTTTACCTGAACATTGTCTCCTAATCCCTGCATGCATTTGTGGTCTATACTGTCATTTCATGCCTTGTAACCTTTCACCTAATAGGATGACGAGGAGGGAATTTGGGCATAACCGCTTCCATGATCTCCAAAACTCTGAGGGGTGAGATGACATCTTTTCTTTATTTATCCCTGCTCCTGGTCCATTTTTCATCCTCTCATTGTGAGTGTTAGTTTATTTATTTATTTATATTTATATCCTTTATTTAACCAGGAGAAGCCCATTGAGATTAAAAATCTCTTTTGCAAGGGAGACCTGGCCAAGATAGGCAGCTAAGTTACATCACAACAGTATGCCAGTACATACATACAAAAACAAAATAAAAACAAATAAATAAAGAAAAAACAATTCGAGGACCAATTTTTACAATGAAATCTCAGTTAAAACATTGACATGTGAGGGAATCCAACTCAAAACATCTAATTTTTGACTTAAAAACACTCAAAGGAATCAATTTACTAAGTTTTAAGTTGTTCTGCAGCAAATTCCATGTAAAGGGTGCAGAATAAACAAAGGCCCTTAATACAGTATGTTTTCTATTCTCCTTTTTAAATAAAATGTCACATCAGATGCCCTGCTTAGGGATTGTGTTTATCATAGTTTGATATCACTTAGAAATACTGCATTATTTGTATAAAATTTACAGTATATACTGTATATGTTGTATCAGATTTTGTTAAATATCAGAAGATCAATATGTGAACCATATTCCTAATTTGGTGATGCTAAGCATCATAAATGGCCTTGTAGTCTTAGATATAACACAGTCATTACCATTTAGATACGTTTAATCTCTCTGCTTTGATACAATCTGCACATGAGATCTGATTCTAAGTTCCCTTTCAGATAGGGCTTTATGAAATTTATCCAGTTGTTGGACATTCAGCAGGTTAGCCAGTTGATAAGGTGATCAGTCACTGTGGTGGATTGTATGTGGACATCAGTTAAGACTTTGAATTATTTAGTCATGACATTGCTATACTGCCAGGCAAAACATAGTGAATGACTTTTTTGACTGTCCACCTGTATGTCTAGTAGGTAGGTAAATAGTAGTGTTTTCTTCAAAACCGAACATGGTTGAACTAAGGTATTTGTCATGAGATGAAACAGAGCCTGAGATTTAATTTTGGTCTTAACTTAGATTTACAGTGCTTTGCCTTGGTGCGGCAGTATATATTCTAGGAACTTGACCAGTAGTTTTGAGTTTAAAAAACATGTGAGGAACAGTACATACCTTCAAGGGAAATATGTTTGTTTCCACAGGTAAAGAATCACAAGGGACCTAAAGCTTGCAAAAGTCCTTCAGAAGCTGAGAACAGCCCCATCTATTTTTCATTGATGGACTTGTCCATATATAGACAGCCTTGTACACAGATGCCATTACAAAGGCTTGCATTAGCACAGTTGCTGTAGTGTATAGACCCACAAATATATGTCTTCTTGAACAAATCTCTTCAAGAAAAGTCCATACGAACAGACTGCAGTCATAACGGGCAGTTTGGTGGGGCACACACCCTCCATCAGAGCTTTACTTACTGGCATCATTCATACTTATGTCCTGCGTTCGCGACCCTCAAACAAGCGTAACTGATTTTTCACTAATTTCATTTCAGTCTGGTAAGAACACATACAGAGATCCACCTTGATAGGGACAGGCAAACAGAGCCTCCTCCTTCTTATTAATCATTTGGAAAATGGCACTTTGAAAGGCACCAGTAAAACTAGGAACTTTGAGTTGGACCTGCAGTCAGTCCTGCTACAACGCAGCTAATACATTCCTGAAAAACCTTGCATTCACTAAAGTCACGTACTGAAATACACATATCCAATGGGGAAAATGGGGTTGGGGGAATGCAACTCTGAAGCTTAGTAACTTACACCAGTGATAATAGTGGCCAATAATGTAATTACAGTAGAACCTTGGAACTGGAACGCCTCTTAACACGACTAAGGCAGACGTCGAACTAGTCTGTCAATTTTTTTTTCTACTTGTACCTCGATCGAAATCTCAGAACTTGACCATTCCTCCTAAACCTTGTGTGTGTTGAGATGCATTCAACTCTACCAAGTCGACTAGATCAGTTGAGAAAAATTTAGCTGCAACTCAACCGAAAACTTGAAACACTACAAAATAAAACAAACCTGCTAAAACTTGTACAGAGGGAGACGCATCTCCCCTTGCTTTTGTATGTGTGCTTTTTCATGTGTGTATTAGTTTCATATTGATTTATATTGATTGTTAATGTTTTTATCATTAGTTAGGTAGGCAGATAGGTTCAAATAGGAAATCATTTGGGGGTCTAGAATGGATTAAGATCATTTACATTATTTCTTATGGGGAAATTCGACTTGGACCTCAGCCAAATCTCAACTCGACTAGCTGTCTGGGACAAATTAAGTTTGTGTTTCAAAGGTACCAAACTGGTTAGGTTCCAAACTGTACCATCCATCCATCCATTGTCCAACCCGCTTATCCTACTGGGTCACGGGGGGTCCGGAGCCTATCCTGGAAGCAATGGGCACGAGGCAGGGAACAACCCTGGATGGGGTGCCAGCCCATTGCAGGGCACACTCACACACCATTCACTCACACATGCACACCTAAGAGCAATTTAGCAACTCCAATCAGCCTCAGCATGTCTTTGGACTGTGGGGGGAAACTGGAGTACCCGGAGGAAACCCCATGACAACACGGGGAGAACATGCAAACTCCACACACATGTGACACAAACAGTGCTAACCACTGCACCACCATGCCGCCCCCCAAACTGTACATGCATTTCAAATGAGAAATAACACCACTACATTAATAAATTATATCATAAACATCCCCGTTGAGTCTCATGAGAATTGCTTAGTAACTCCTGCAACCAAACGTGCTGAACTGGCTAACTTGTCAATTGCCAAAAGTTGGGAGAAGTGATGGTCACAAAGATGCTTCAAGAACCATTTGCTCTATTTTGTCATCCCACTAGATCAGGGTTTCTCAACCCGGTCCTCGGGGACCACCAGACGGTCCATGTTTTTGCTCTCTCCCAATTCCCTGCCAATTGGGAGAGAGCAAAAACGTGGACCGTCTGGTGGTCCCCGAGGACTGGGTTGAGAAACCTTGCACTAGATGGTGCTGTTGGTTTACCTTTGGGCATGTTTGAATCCTTTTTTTGAACAGAGATCTCCATCTAGTGGGATCAGAAAAGATAGCAAATGGTTTATGTAGTGTCATATTGACCATCATTAGTCAGGAGCAAGGAGTCACAGCCACCAGGCGGCCGGGCATGCACTCTCCACAAACACAATGGATTACAGTATTGTGAGGGCCACTGAAGGCAGCATGGCTACACACAGTCTACGAAAAGTAATTGAATTTTAAAAGGCTTCTGTGTTTTTTTATATGCTAATTAGTCAAATATTTTTGGATTTTTAGAATCTTTGACTTTGACTTGTGTAATTTGTGAAATTTGATTCTTTAAGATTTGAAAAACAATTCAACCCATTCACTGGAATGAACTGGACGTCACTATCGATCACTGGGATAGTTGTTTTTGCATGTGTGGTGTTTCTCACTAAGACCATATCACGTGTAGTTTGCTTAGTGTTGTTCTCTCCATCTGAAAATCACACATACAAATGTGATTCCACGTTGTATTGGATTTGGGTACTAATATATTAGAATTTAGAGATTAATTGTCATTGTTGACACACCACAGCATACAATGCACAACAACGAAATGTGTGATATCACATGTTGTAGCAGGACTGACTATATTCTGTATTCTGAATCTCACGCCATGTCATCCTACCTGTCAGTCTGATGCTTCACCTTCACCTTGTGTTGTTTTCATCTGTTGTTCTGTATGTTAAACTGTATTTTCCATTTAATACATTTTAAAGGGGGTCTCATCTCTTGTGCATGTCGTATGTTGTAAATCCTCACAGGATTTACAGAAAAAGAGTAGACCAGTAAACTTCTGGCTCACCTGGTATTCGTCTTTTGGCTCCCCCAGGAGATATGCCCGTTGGAGAATATCCCATCCTAGAATGAGGTAGCCTCATCACCATTGTTTTGTGTCCAGTTCTGTATCCATATTGTTGTGAATGCCTTTGCTGTTTATCCTTTGACATTTCTTAAGGTGTTTTATGCATTTCTAAGCCATCCAGTCCACTGTTTCTGTGCCCTGTTATAGGGTCTTTCATTTAACCTACCATTTATTTTTCAGAAGACTATGCACTGGAAAAGACCCATGCATGTCATCCAGTGTGGTTTCAGGGTACCTTAATCATGGTGGTGCTGTTCAGTCTCTATGAATATGATGAAAAATAAGCCATATTGTAATTCTGTCATCCCTTAGCTAAAAAAGATGGAGGTACTTTGTGTGTGTAATCCCATAGAGTACTGTTCATGTGGAAAAAATATATACAACCTGACTACTGTGGATCAAATTGCAAAATAGTGGACCGCACAGCAGAATGACACCGCACCCCTGGATGTGGATAAGCTTTGTCCTCGATAGTCCCCATTCTAGATAACCCCTCAGCTGTAGCTTTCAAGCTTCCAGAAGCTGATTATAAATCCGCAGAACTCCTCTGACTGGCACACCTGCTCTGAGCAGACTGGGAGGAATTAAAAAATGTTGTTTTTTATTTAGTTATGTGAATAGGCATGAGAAAACTAAAGTGTACAATTTTTTTGTGCACCCAAAGAAAATAGAAATACATTTCTAATGTGGGACCAGTGACACTGGATGAAACATCACATCAGGAGAGGTTTCAAATCTCCTGTAAATGTAAAAACTGTCCTCGGCTCCATTATGACCACTGAGCTCTCAAGCTTGAGCTTTGTAGTATCTGCTCTACAAGGAGCAGCATCGCACTGAGATGTCCGTACACACAGACCTCAGGACAAATAGACCTTTAAGGATAAGGATGGAGCTGGAATCCATTTTTGGGACATCCAACTTCCATTTCCTGTCTGCAGCCAGCTCTTGAGAGTGTGGCGGTTGCAGACGTTGCCCAAAATGACTTGCAGTGTTTTCATGTATATCTAGAGACCATTGCCACTGGAGTGGCAGTTTAAAAGTCTCAAAATGACACTGTCTTGTAACTGTTGTTATTGTCAATGTGTCTGATACAGTGGAGAATTTTGTACACACGGTGCTGGAGGGATTTCCGTTAAAACCAACCCACTGAACTTGTGTATGTCCTCAATAGTGGTTGTGGTAGTCATTGTCACTGTTGTCTGCAGTTGTTAAGGTTTACCGTTAGATCAGGATGAATGTGAATAGTGTCTTTTCTCCTGCGTGTCTTTAATGCAATTAGACAAATATGGGCACCCTCCTCTACTTAGAGTCAGAGAATATCCCAACCATAGCTTAGCTTACTACATTAAATATTCACAAAGCATCAAAGTCAGTAAAGAACAAAATGGTGGTCAATGCTAACTGAGGAGCACAAAAGCTAATCACTTGAATATCATGTCAGGGCATGGTATTTTGAGTGGCATAATATCAGGTCTTTAACAATAATACTTGAAGTAGGGTCTCCTACCACAGAATGCCAGTACATATGTAATGAATCCATCAAATTCAAAGCAATTCGCTGATCCCAGCTCCTTTTGAGTATAGTGCCAATTTTATGGTCAATGGATAGATCTTGTTCTCTATGCATAGGGGGAGTAGAATTCAACTCTCATAAGATTTTTAAACTGTTCTGTGGACTCACAAGGGTGGCACTAATAAGTGAAAGGAATCCTTTTGTTTATCATGGTCATATATGAGAATGTTTATCTTAGGGTATTTGTCGTTCAATGCAAAACTGGGCTAAAGAAACACTGTGAGAAATGCAAGAAACATTTTTATTAAACAATATGATTATTACTTTTTAAAATTTTAATTTTTCTGTCATTTTCTTTCTATTATTTGCACAGAGTAAAATTCTGTTTGCAGTTATGCAGTGTGTATTTGTATATATGTATTTGTTTTGCTGTACAGTACTGTTTTAAGATGTCTGTTTTTGTGGACATGGGTGTATTGTGCTAATCACAGGTGAATGGCTAGCTGTAACATAGGGCTTATGTCCCTGCTTCATCTGTGTTATCAGATATGTCAACCGGTTTGGTGCATAGGCGAGGTGATTCTGTGATGTTGTATCTGACCGTATGTGGCTACTGCCGGTACCCTCATCTTCCTGCTGATGTTTATGTAGCATGTGGAACGGATGGCAGCATGTCATGGACTGTAACCGTAGTAACTGTTAATCGGGTTCTTATTGACATGTGATACGATGAGGTTAGAGAGCTTAAATTGCTGTTGTCTGTGTTGTGTCAGAATCTGGAGTGTTGGCCAGCAGGGGTTTATTCATAAAATAAAAGATGGCTTTTTTATATGAATGGCTCACTTATCTGTGTTGGCTCTGAAACATGTTATTGTCATGTATATGTTAGAGATCCTACATATTTACCTTCAAACCTGACTGCTGGGAAATTCATCTCAATATTACTAGGATGGACTTGCCACATTGTCAAAGGCCATTATAGCTCTTTCATGAGTTTCCTGAGTGCAATACAATGACAATTGTATAAGGTGAATGAGGTTAAAATTCTGCTGTTTCGATATGCAGGTTTAAAAAATCTTATAAATTTTTTATGAAAGTGTTGCTGACTAGTATACATTGGTAATTTCATGTCAGTGTTCATCTTCTGATGACATTAAATATTTGGGTAATGTTTCATATATAACAGGTATGAAACACGATTTCTGTGCATTATTACTGCAGTGTCAGTTTTGACCACAGTTACTCATGGGCACCAGCAGGGGGCAATGTTGTTCTGTGGCTGAAGTCATGCAGTAACAAATGTGCTTCTGCACTACATGTGGAAGACTGCAGTAAACATTTATGCAGGGATGTTGTGATGTTATAGTCTTATCAATGATTACTGGTGTCTCTGTTTCTACCTGGAGTTTACTTGGTGGTCTGTACTCTATTGAGGACTATATGCAAAAGTATTACAAAGGTAATAAGTCTACATAACACATATAAGACATTTAGACTTGAGAATAGCATGCACAGTCTATGTGTTCTTACACAGGAACCACATTACTGTTATCTGTGTTGTGTCAGAATCTGGTTTTTGTAATAATAAAGTTGCATTTCATGGGTCTCCTGTTCCTACAAGGCAAACATATGGAACAAAAAAATTTGAAAAAATCTTTTATTTCTCCATCTGGAAGGCATTGTACAATAGTGGTTAAAAGTCACCTGATGGAGCTGTAGAGGTTATTTGAGGTATAAGAATTATAAGATCTGTAGAGTCAGAGCTGTTGGAGCTACAGTCTATAGTTCTGTAGGGATTCCATAGACTGTAAGAGCTTTTAGAGCTGTAGAAATGTGTGGACCTTAGATGTGGTACATGATTTTTAATCTTTAGTGTTTTCATTTATTAGGGCTTAGACTTCGGGGGGTGACATTCCTTAAAGGAGTAAATATGGGTGTTGGCGAGTTAAAATGGGACATGCAGCATGTAGGCTGCACGATCAATAGA